GGGTAGATATTGTAAGTCTATAATTCCCCAGAAAATATCCCTTTAATCAAATGTCCCAGGAGCCAGGATGTATGGAAAGACCAAAAATGAGTGTGTAACACAGAATGGTAATCGGGGAGGAATGTTAAAGGAAGTGGGATTTAAAGAGAGCAGAGAAGACAGATACGTCTGTCAGGGTGGTGTAGCCAGAAGACAGGTGATGGGTGTCCTTGGACTTGAACATGGGGATCCCGAGGAAGGCAGGTCTCAGCATGTTTGTTCTTCCATTTCATCATCCTCCACTTCCTCCCCACCCTCCTCCTTCCTTCACTCTCTTTCAGGGTTTGTTCTTGTATCAAATATGTCCTAATTATAACAAAAAGATTGTTTATAACTTCCTTATGCCAAATATCCTTTATGAAAGTCAATTTTGTTTATATTGTTTATAGTGTGGAATAATTTATGGCACTATTACTAATATAGATCAGTGAATTGTGTTTTGCTTTCCATGCCTCCATGAAAACAAGGTTTGGAAATTTTCTTCCTTGTTTTACAAATATTCTTTCATGGGAGATTTAATGTCTGTCAAGCTCTATGATACATTTGGGAATCTTCAGCCTTCCCAAACATGTCTTCTTAATTATTGGCTAACACAACCCAGAGCAGAGTCCTCTGTGGTCTTCTGCCTCAGTGGTCCATTCTGAGGCTCTGGGAAGGACATCTTACCCAAGGAGGGTCAGGCTGGGGTGGAGCAGCAAGATCACACTGGGGCTTCTCTGTTGAAGGAGGATTCCTTGGGCCAGGACATTAAGGGGAAAGATGAGGCTTTAAAGATGATGATGCCTGGACCTGAAACTTTGGGGGGATTTGGTGTTATTACACGCAAATAGAATTTTAAAATAATGGACTGCATGGTGGATTAAAATTCTGACAATGAATTTGGAACCATGAAACCTATATAGAAATCTTGTGATAAAGAAACAGATAAAGGGATCGATTTGGCATCACACATTCCCAGAGTGGAAAGCACCTGGAGAAATGGATCAGGGTGGTGTCATCTTCAGGTGCGGACTAAGATGCAACACTCAGTGTCTTCTTTCTGTCTACAGTCAACTTTCAGGGGACCTCACAAGTGGATAATAATAATTATTATTATTTATTATTTTTATTATTATTGCTATTGAGATTGCTGAGATGGTGATGCCACGCAAGCTTATACAAACATGTTCGGCTAGGAATTTCTGCTTCCAATAATACCAAAAAATTGGGGACAAATCTTCCCAAAAAACAGCCATAAAAATTATACCAAATCTTTAACACCCATCTACTTGAAGTCATTCAAGAGCTAACAAGATAGGTAATTGTGTGGTAGCATCTGAGGATCCCATAGAAGTTTGAGAATGAATGAAGGAATAAAAAGCAAAAAATATTAGCAATTTGATAAATATTGATGATTGCATAGAATATTTTTGGTGAGAAAACACAGGAAGATCTAGATGACAAAAATAAACTATGAATTACGTAAAGGACTCTATGGATAGAAACATGTTATTAGAGATGGTAAGAAGAATGCATGCTGCAATCCCTAGAGTAACCACTAAATCAAAAATGCATGGGGCCCTCTGTGTAGCTTAGTCATCTTGTGGGACTCCTAACAGTGGGAACAGGGGCTGTCTCTGACTCTTTTACTGGCTTTTGGGACCATTCTTATACTGGATCTCTTTGTCCAGCCTTAATACATGGAGAGGCGCTTAATCTTACTGCAAATTGATATGCCTTGTTTTGTTGACTCTCATGGGAGTCCTGCCCTTTCCAAAACAGAAATGAAGAAAGAGTGGATTGGGGGGTAGGAACAGAAGAGGGATGGGGCAAGGGAGTAGGAGGAGAGAAGGGAAGGGAAACCGTGGCCGGGATGTAAAAGAAATAATAAATAAATAAATTTACTAACATTTATTCTACAGCCACAAAAAAAAAAATGAAAAGGAAAAGGAAAAGAAAAAGAAAGCCCTATCAGGGAAATAGTCTAGAGTTCTAGTGTGCAGTCTGAGGACCACATTAATAAAATTGTACCAATACAGGGACTTCAAAGAAATAAGCAGAGTTTTAGTGACGTTTGTCCCACACAAGTAACTGAAGTGCTAGGTATGTTAAAAATTATAATAATTATTTTATCATCATAATAATTATTTTATAATAATTATAATAAATAATCATCATAATAATTATTTTAATGTCTATATATATCCCATAACACCATGCTCTCAGATAGGTAGGATCAACACAGTAAAAATGGCAATCCTTCCAAAAGTAATCTACAGATTCAATGCTGAGGCCACTTAGTGTTGCTTGTATGTATGTATTTTCAGGGATGCACACTTGGGATTGGCTAAGAGATCAGGGGCTCATCCCTGGAGAAGGCTGACTCTCCCTCTCTCAGCAGCCATTCATTGCTGTAGCTCTTCATCCAGGGGCAGAGCCTTGTGAGATGTCCCCCATCCATGTTGGCATGTCAACGGGTGTTGTCACTGTGCAGGTCTGGGTTAGGCAAGCATGTCATTGTGATTTCATGGGTGCAGCTTCCCTGTCATATGTAGATGATAACTACCTCACAGGAGAAATCCTGGTCCTCTGGGCATTGTAGTCTTCCTGCCCCACCACTTTCTGTTCTTTGAGCCTTAAGAATAGGGGTTGTGTTGTAAATGTACCAACCAAGGCTTGGTGCCCCAGGCTCTGGTCTCTGCATTTTGACTGGTTGTAGACATCTGTAAAGGCCTCTGTCAGCTGTAAAAGGAAACTTCTTTGAAGAGGGGTGAGAGCTACAATTATCTGTGGGTGTAAGGATAGCTATTTACAATGCAATTAAGAATTATATAGGCCAGTGTTCAAAAGCAACTATTTACTGCACAGCCTGGCTACCCTTTCACCTCTTCAGACACCTTTTCCTCAGACAAAGAGATTGCTACTAAGGGAAAGTGGAGGGACTCTTCTGTAACTGACCTTTGAGATCCCAAGGGGAAGAGGGCATGGCACAGAAAATTAACCACAATTGTGAGTGTGGCTAAATGTCTCCTGTTGAAGGATGGGAGAAAGATTTTGATAAACCATGCAAGTGATGATGAGAAGAAGGGAGAAAGATGCACTCACAGAAGATGAGCGAAGAAACAGTGGTTGCCTCACTCTGGGGTAAGACTGTGGGTGTTGGTAGACCTCAAGGAATGCTCCAGCTCTGACAAGAGGCCTTCATAATTCATCGAGACAACTGGTTGGAAATGAGCTATTCTTGGAAAGTCTAGAACATGGAGCCATTATGCTCTGTGGAGTTAAAAATCCCTATAATCTTCATCTATCCCACGGACAATGCTGGAGAGTTGGTTTTTTGTTGTTGTTGTTTTGTTTTTTTCTGTGCTATACAAGATGGGGGATGACTAGGAAAGCTTATGTAAACTGAATGAGTATCACTTCTGTGACGCTAAGCTGAGCTCTGCTGCCTGCACTCCCAAGGTTCCCTCCCGACTACAGCTACTGTCAGGACTGAGATATTTCTCAGTGCTCCCCACACTGCATCTCCACTCTACTCACAGGATGCACAGTGCCTATTACTGATGCACCCCGGGTGGCACTTTATGCCCCTCCTCACCAAGCCAGTGGTCACTGAACGGGCACTATATATATATATATATATATAGTGTTCACATAGATGTTGGAAGAGAAAACAAGTCACTTTGCTCTCTGGGCTCTTTTCCCATCCTCAGGCTTATGAGGAAGTGAGAATCTGAATTCTTCCAGATCAGGGTGGCATTTTAGTATCAGAACTGTTTCTAAGGCACATGGAGGAGGTAAGGGACAGGGCTGAGTCTGACAAGTGCTTCCACTCACACCTGGCCAAAGATGAGCTAAGGTTTCCTCTCAGATGGTGATGGTGGCTGATCTGACCATATTCTTAAGACTAGATATTTGAAACTTGGCTTCTCTGCTGTAGGATGACATCAATCAACATCCAAACAGTGAGAACTGCCTGGGATCCAGCAGCTGTTTCCTAGACACAAAGTCTGTGTGGTTACACTTCTGTAGCTTTTCCCTATCCTTGAGGATGCATTTGGCAGCAGACACTAGGCTGAACAAGAAGCCGGGCGTTGGTGGCACACGCCTTTAATCCCAGCACTCGGGAGGCAGAGGCAGGCAGATCTCTGTGAGTTCAAGGCCAGCCTGGTCTTCAGAGCTAGTGCCAGGATAGGCTCCAAGATACACAGAGAAACCCTGTCTCGAAAAACAAAGACAAAAACAAAAACAAAAACAAAACAAAAAAATGAACAAGAAAATATGTGTGGTGGTTTGAATAAGAATGGCCCCCATAGGCTCCTAGACTTGAATGCTTGGTTTTTAGGCAGTGGCACTACTTGACAGGCATTAGGAGGTGTGGTCTTGTTAGAGGAAGTGTCTCACTGTGAATGGGCTTTGGAGTTTTAAGTGTTCAAGCTAGGCCCAGAGTCTCTCTCTCTCTCTCTTCCTGCTGCCTGTGGATCAGAATGGAGAACTTTCCATTATCTCTCCAATACCATGTCTGCCTATGAGCAGTCATGCTCCTCACCATCAAGACAATGTACTAAACCTTTGAATAGTAGCGAATTTGATGGGGGAAGTGCTTCTGTGTATGTATTTGTCTTATTGGATGATAAATAAAGTACTGTTTGGCCAATGAGGCAGCAAGTTAGGCAGGACTAGGAGTCAAGGAGGATTCTGGGAAATGTAGTAAAGAAGTGGTGATCCAGGCAGGAAGTCACATGGAGGGAGACTCATATATAAACAAGGGCAGGAAGGAAGTGGGCCCCTTCTCCCTTCCTCCAGAGTCACCATGTGATCCCGGCATGAGGATGCCAATGGAAGGCAGCCTAAATAAGATAAGTCTTATAAAATATACAGATTTATGATAATTAAGACTGAGCTAACAGATGAGAAATCCTAGTCATTGGCCAAGCAGCATTTGTACCTAATATAAGTCTCTGTGTATTATCTGGGGCCCTAACTCGGCAGGCAGAAATCAGGTGGCTGGCGGAAACCACCCACGTGGCGGTAGGGCTCGGGTGGCTTTTGGTGGAAAGACTTATCGTAACACCAATTGTTTGTGATTTTTGTGCTTATAAACCCTGCTTCTGCCCTGGCTTGGGCTTTCAGGAGTAAGGAGGCTCCAAAGTCCTTGTCCTGCAGCCCCGATCCATCGTGACCTGTTTATGTGAACCAATAAGTGTCTCTCTCCTTGCCCATGGCGCATAACAGGCTAGGTGTAGCAATGCTTTAAAATGTAAGTACACCAAGGCAAACAGGAAGTTAGTATGGATGCAGAGAGGTAGGTAAACTGGAATATGGTATGAAACTAACTGAAGTACTCGTAGGTAGTGAAGAGTGTTGGTTGATGTGCTTCTCTGTTAACAAAATGCATCCTGACCACCTCTCGGTGCTTCAGAACAATGCCTGATGTGTTCATCGTTATTACGGGCACACCACTAATTGCTCACCACCTCTTATCCATGCGTCTCCCTCAATGCACCACTTCTCTGGCTAGACCATCATACAGCCTACCTCCAGTGTTCTCCAACTCTTAAGACTCTGAACATAATTGCTTCACAACAATTTTTGTTACATCATTTGCTGTGTTCAGCTTGTTTTTCTAAAAATGCACGGCATCAAATATTATCAGAGTTCCTAGTAATTATTGGCGTCCATGTGTAAACCAAGGGCCTGGAAGAGTGAGTAGAGCCATGGCCACCAAAACAGAGTGTTAGAAACCGTTCCTACCTGAACCAGGAGGGATACTCTCCCTCAGTAAGATGGAAGCGGTGACTTGTCACAATTGTAACATTTAATTCTCTAAAAAAAATTCAGTAAATTATCACTCTTTCCATCTACCCATTAGTAAATGAAAACTCCTACAGTTAAGGCATTCTACAAATGCTCACATCTGATATGAAATGGGGTGGAAGCCAGATGCCAGGCCTACTTGAGGATAAACCCATGTCACTTCCCACCAGGTTACACAATATTGATTGCTTTAGATTTATCTTATTAGTCTTTAAAACCTGCACATGCCTGTGTGTTTCTGTGTGGGTATGAGCACACATGTGCCGGTGCTCAGAGATGGAGGCCTCGAATTTCCCAGAGCTGCAGGTCCAGGCAGTTGTTATTTGTCCCATATATGCAGTGACAACCGAACTCCTGACCTCTGGAAAAAGCAGTGCATTCTCTTAACCACTGAGCTATCTCTCCAGCCCCATTGTATCAATTTTTCATGTGTCAAAGCATGGAAAACAAAAAGTAGCCGAAAACAAAAAGAAACCGGAGGTATAGAAGGATCACTGGTTTTTACTGTATGTTAACACACATAAAAATTATGTCTCGGAGTTCTGGTGTCTTATTTCATGCAGGGCATGGTAGGTTTTCCTGCACATCCTTGATGGGGCTTGGCACTGCCTGAACTTAGGCTTATTAGCTCTGCTGATGAGGTCATCAGGTGCTAAGGGATCCCAACTCTGGCACTGTGATTTCAGAGACTCCAAGTAGGTTGTAAAAATGTGAGCCAAGATCACAAGAATCTTGTTAACAAGGAGATGTTGACACATGAAACATCAGCAAAGGAGACAAGATAGCAAGTAAATGAACACACTGCTTGGTGACAATGCTCAGAAGGGAGAGCAGGAAGAAAGGCAGGTCCTTGGTTCTCACAATCCACCACTCACCACTTGCTGACTCTTTTGTTGTCCAACTGGTTAAATCCACACTCAAGATGAAGGTCCTCATTCTACAACAAGTCCTTATCACTCAGCTACATGCAAGTAGTCGTCACTTCCCAGGAGACTGGCTCAGTTTCTTGTTGTATCTGCTGGTGAGAAACCCCAATGCAGGGATTAGCAGACAAAGCGAGACACAAGTGATATGTTCAAGGTGAGAATCTACTTCCCAGATGTTTATTATCCATGAACACAAGAACCAAGTTGGTGGTGTGGCTCTCTTGTCCTGTAGTGTCTGGCACAATGGTTTCTTGGGTTTAGTTCCCTTTGATTTCTCATGAATAAAATAGCTCCATTCTTGCCTTTGGATCTTTGCTATTTGACCTCTAAAGTCTTCTCTAATTTTCCCACAACAGTAGGAAAGTAGAGATGGCACCTAGTAGCACATTCATCATGATGCCACCCCCTGCCCAGTCTGACCATCTCCCATTTCTAAGCAGTCAGGACACTCTATTCCCAGTAATTCAGCTACCAACAATGCTGTCTTGATTAAGTTTTGATTCAAGTCCTTAAGGACCTGTATGCCAGACACTGTTGCAAGCACTTCTAGAAAGGCCTCATGTCATGTTGTAGAAGCCTGTAACACTTGTACTCTTTTAATGTCAGGTAAAGAATCTGGAGGCGTCCTGGGAAGTCTATGGGGCCTCTAGCAGTGGAACCAGTATTTATCCCTACTGCACAAATGAACTTTGGGAGCCCATTCCCCATGGAGAGTTACTCTCTCTGCCTAGATACATGGGGGAGGGCCTAGGTCCTGCCCCAAATGATGTGACAGACTTGGATGATCCCCCATGGGAGGCCTTATCCTCCCTGGGGAGTGGATACAGGGTGGTATTTATCCCTACTGCACAAATGAACTTTGGGAGCCCATTCCCCATGGAGAGTTACTCTCTCTGCCTAGATACATGGGGGAGGGCCTAGGTCCTGCCCCAAATGATGTGACAGACTTGGATGATCCCCCATGGGAGGCCTTATCCTCCCTGGGGAGTGGATACAGGGTGGGATGGGGGTTGGTGGGGAGCATGGGAGGATGGAAGGGAGAGGGAACTGGGATTGATATGTAAAATAAGATTATTTTTAATTTAAATAAAAATTCATAAAAAAAGAATCTGGAGGCAAACTAACTAACTCTAGGTCTCCAAGCTAGTGTCACGTGAAGCTGTAGAGCATACAAATCAGGCCTCCTCCTGCTCTCCAGACCATTCTCCTGGATACCTCAGGAAGGACTTCTACTGTGACCATGTCTGCCCTCTGTTTCCATTTCAGACTTGTCAAGAGCATATAATTGACAGGAAAAGTGGCTCCTGGGATGAGAGCCAGCCAGATCCTCTGGGAGCAGTGCCATTGGCCAGGCTGGCACACAGGAACACATGCTCCAGTCTCTCTGGACTTGACAGCTGCTTCAGCCTTTGACATGACCTTTTGGGATCCTTACTAACCTGCTCCAGGCAGTTGTCTTCCATGAATTCTTATGATACGGATTTCCACACAAGGCTCCTTATCTTTCCATGTAAAACAAGCATTTTTTTACTAAATATTTACAATAGCAGAGATGAATTATTTACTCAGTTTACAGTTTCATCTCTGATTTTTCTGTATGTTTATCTGAATGTTGGGTGTTTCCAGTTAATATATCAAAGCCACAAAATGGAGAAACTGGGTAATTTGCACTGAGATCTCTGCTGTCAAAATGGGCCATGAAAATACTGTTTAGATTTCAGACTGTTTATGTCTGGGCTGAGGGGGAGAGGTGGGCATACAGGAGCCTCAGGAAAACAGCTTGGGTTGTGGGCGGTGTGTGCACCTATGTGAAAGGGAACTCCAGAGATAGTTACGGTGGTTTAAATGAGGATGTCCCATGTAGACTCTTTTATTTGAACACTTGGTCCCGCGTTGGTGGAACTCTTTGGGAAGGATTAGGAGGTGAGGTCTTGTTGGAGGAGACGAGTCACTGGAAGTGGGCTTAGAGGTTTCAAAAGCCCATGCCATTCCCAATTATCTTTCTCAGTCTTGTGACTGATACTCAATACGTAAGCTCTTAGTTACCGCTCCAGTACCATGCTTCCATGCTCCTTACCATGGTAGTCCTGGACTCTAACCCTCTGCAACTGTGAGCCCCAATAAACATTTTCTTTTATTAGTTGCCTTAGTCACGGTAACTCTTCCCAGCAATAGAAAAGTAATAGAGCATTTGGGCGGTAAGTGGAGCATGTAAGAAGCTGCTTGTAATATCACATGATGGCAGTTTCATATGGCTCAACTAAATAACACAGAGGGAAAAACTGAGGAAGGTGCCAGAGTCAGCAGACACAATACACTATCTGGATGGATGGTCCTTCCCATCCAGTAACTCTAGAACCAGTCAAGGGATTTGACACAACAGTGGTAAAAAGCAGCTCAGAAATATTTAGAGGATTTAAGAAATACCGGGAGAACAAATATATAAATGAGTCGCAGGAGATTCATTTGCTACTAAAACTAAAATCTGAAGTCTTGTGTCACCCGTGATCCAATGGCCTAGGACTTCGGGGATGGAAGTAAAATCAAGAAAGAGAATAGCGCTGACAATGCAGATGAAGTGTCTTTGAGACCAAAAATGCCCGTGAGGGTGTGCAACTGTGGCCATACTGTTTATTTGAACTATATATTGAGAGTCCTTCACTCCAGTAGCAGGTACGACTGTGTGTGCTGGGTTCGGGAGACAGAACAGTGCAGATAGAAGGGCTAGTAAAAGGTGACAATATAAATCCGGGTCAGTGGCACTGGCAGACATCTCCCTGAACTTTTCACACCCTGGTGATCAGAGAGGAGGGTAGAGAGAAGGCCTTGGAATGTTTTTATATCCTAGGATCTGGTGCCCCACCTGACCCGATTGACAGATATTGATCAAAACTGCCAGTTAGATGCTAACTCCTCGTTCCTGATAATTTAACTGGAGAGGACTTCAAACTGTGAGAACAAAGAGTGCAGACAGACAGCCCCAGACTGCTCAAAATATCTTCCCCAGGGTCCCTGCGTAGGTAGCAGGCTGCCCTTTCCAAGAATGTGTTTATCAAAAAGGCAACTGGAAACTTTGCTTTCCTGAGAACTCTGTTAACTCGCAACTTGAGATAGCTGTGCATTGCTTCTCTTTGGAGATGGGAGGCTAACTATTTATAATACCGGCTGGGACCATCACCTCTCCTCTGAGGCCTAAAAGTTAAGACATATCCATTTGCCCCTCCATGTCATGAGTGGCCTTGGATAACTCCAAATACTTCCTTGTAGGTGCAGGCTTCTTATCCAGAAGAAGACACAGTCTGGGAACTCCTGGAAGCAACTGCTTGGAGTTCATATATATTCCTAATGCTTTTAAGTGTCGTCCACCACCAGGAGGAATTTGCTTGACTTTTACTGCAAAAGCAAGCAAGACACAAGAGGACAGCAAGCATGAGTCCTCCGTCATGGAATTATCTTCCAACTAAGGCTTCAATTGGGTCCTTCAGTTTTCTAGTACAGGGGGGAGAATGGATCATACATCTATCCAAGTAGGAAGGTCCAGCTCTGTTCTAACCCAGTGGATATCCTGCCACTTCAGATTTAAATTCTCAGCTGGGCTCAGTGTGCTATTATCAAGCCTGAGTATACGAATTAGCAACAGGAAGAAAACAATCTGGAAATTGAACCCATCCAAATCAGCACAGGCTCACCCTGCCCTTCTGGTGCAGCCCAAAGTAAGTTCACATGCTGGTCGGGTTCCCATATGTGCACTTCCTTCTTTGAGAAAAATCCTAAACCCTCCAGAAGTCTCTCATCTCTGCCCACAGGCACTGTTGCAGAACCATCCCCCACCCCCCCACACACACACCCTGCTGCCACAGCCATCCTGCCTCAGGCCCTGGATCTGAAGGGGCCTCACACACAGCTCATCACCTCTGAAGCACCGTGAGCAAAGTAGCCAGGCGAGAACTCCCAGCAGCTAGCTGCGGGTGAGGAGACCAAGAGTGTGGAGTTGTGAAAGTGGGGCCTCAGATAACAGGCAGGTCAGAGCCAGTGTCTTTCTGAGGAGAGGTCAGCCTAACTCTCATTAAAACTGCATCTTAAAATAGGAAGGGCATGTGGTGGTAGAGGAGGCTCCGTGAAGAGCTGGCATTGCCCCAGTGTGCCCTGAAGTTCCAAAGTATAAAGTATGAAAACTCAACTTATCCAAATGAGGGTTCACACTGAAAACCTCAGCTCACCTCTGACTCGGAATTAGTTACTTTTCTAATGCTGTGATAAAATACCATTAGCGTGATGATCTGTAGACAAAAGAGTGTATTTGAGTTTATGGTTCCAGTGGGATTAGAGTGCATGATGGTGGAGCAGAGGCCTGGCAGCTGCAGCTGGAAACTGAGCGGTCACATCTTCAACCAAAGCAGGAAGTAGAGTTGTGAACTAGAAATGGTACAAGTCCTTCAGCTCTCAAAGCCCACCTCCGGCAATATCTTCTAGATGGATGGGGAAGGGGAGGGGGTCATTTGATTCAAACTATCACACACCATTGTCTCATCTGAGATGATACTTTGTACTCCAGTCTAGGGACTGAGTATCATTGCAAGTTGTGGGTTTTGGAGTCAACCAAACATGACCTTGAAGTCCAACCCTGTGGCTTCCAACATAGACCTGACCAGTTTATTTGATTTCCCCAAGCCTGTTTCTATACATGCATGTGGTGGTTTGAATAAGAATGGCTCCCGTAGACTCAGCAGTGGCACATGAGGAGGTGTGGCCTTGCTGGAGTAGGTGTGGCATTGTTGGAGGAAGTGTGTCACTGAGGTCTTACCTGCTCAAGCTACACTCAGGATGACACACAATCTCCTGCTGCCTGCACATCAAGATGAAGAATTCTCAGCTCTGCCCTCATGTCGCCATCTCCTACCATGATGACAATGGACCAAACCTCTGAAACTGTAAGCCAGCCCCAGTCAAATGTTTTCCTTTGTAAGAGTTACCATGGTCCTGGTGTCTTTTTACAGCTAATAAAACCCTGACTAAGCCAGTGCCAAGCAAGGAAAATACATTAGCAAATTGAAGCAAGGCTGGAAAGATGGTTCCGTTGGTAAATGTGCCTGCCACCAACTTTGACAACCAGAGTGCAATTCTTAGAAACCAGAAGGTGGAGAGAATCAACTCCTCCAAGTTGCCCTTAGCCTCTTGTGCACTATGCAGGCTCAGTAGAACACGTTCACACTTGAGTTTTCGTGTACACATACACAAAATGTTAACTTTTGTAACTTGAAGAATCGGCCAGGTGTTGGTGGCACATGACTTTAATCCCAGCACTCACTCTGTGAGTTCAAGGCCAGCCTGGTCTACAAATCGAGTTCTAGGATAAGCTTCAAAGCTACAGAGAAACCCTGTCTCAAAAAACAAAACAACAAAAGAAAAGATTGAACATAATCTATGAAGAGAACTTATGCCCAGGGGTACTGGGGTACAGTAAGACTCCATGAGGCCATCCTATCTGTCACAGGAACAAGCTTCCTGGTCCAGGTCAGCCATCTTCCTCTCTCATCTCCACAGCTGACTTCTGAGATTTCTTCATCCCCCCCCCCCAACTTCTTTTACACAACAGCAAACATATCTTCTTCTAAGTCAGCCTTTAGAAGTCAGGATTAAAATGTCATCTAAGTGGCTGATTGCATAATTGAGAGGTAGAAAGTACTTACCTAGCATGCTTGAGGCCTGGGTTTGATTCCTAGCATTGTATATATATATATATATATATATATGTATATATATATGTATATATATATAATTTTTTTCAACCAGGAATATTTTTATTCATTCACCCATTCTTCATTCTGGTTTTGAGAGTTTCCCTCTGTGGTGTAGGTTGATCTCTCTATGTGGTTCAGGCTGCCTGGAAACTTGAAGCAATCCTCCTGCCTTGATCTTCCAAATGCTACACTGGTCAGTGTGACGCCTGGGCTCAGCCCAGGAATATTCATTTTTAAGAATATTATGAAGTCTGACCCTAAAAATACATTCTTAAAAACTTTAGGAAATGGAAGTTTTAGCTCTTAAAATACTTCTCAGATACAGTAAAGGAACTCCATGTTCAATTAAACTTGAGTTAAAATAACAAAAATGAAAACTGATTTTCTTTTTGGAGTCAACTTGGATTGACATAAAATGAGTAAGAGTTGCTGGGACTATGAGGAAAAGGAGGTATTTATACAAAGACCTCTGAAGCCTTGGAGCTTACAAATTAATCAAAGATGAAGGATTTAATTTAAAAAAAAAAAAAAGCCTGTGACATAAAGGCAGCAAATGAAGTTAATAGGGAAAGTAAATTGCAAGAAACAGAAAATACAGAAATAGAAAGGTGTTTGAAAAATAACTCATTGTTATTCCGAGGAGAGATTTTTGTACACTGAGCAACCAAAGAATCCATTCTTTAAGGAAGCATTCAATACCAAGCTGGAGCCCTAGAAAAATAAAACTAATAGTAGAGATGAACATTTCCATTAGACATTTGAAAATTTAAAAATGAGAAAAAAATCCAGATTTTAAAAAACAGAATCATGTTAGCTGAGGAGTTCATCAAAATGGATGCACCAGTGTGACTTATCCACCACCATCTTAGATAGTGACATCATGAAATTGGTAACAACCATGCGATTTCATCACCATCTTGGCCAATGCAATCATAGAGCATGAGTCAAAATGGTGGCACCCATAAAACTACTCAGTCCAACTGAACCCTAGGAGGATCACTGTACCCCTTTTTATATTAGATTAAGGAAGTAACACTAGACCTCATGGTGTTTTGTTGATGTTTGTTTAGGTTTTTTGTTTTGATTTGATTCCGATGTGTTCTTTTACATGACATATTTATTGGTTTCTAGAGGAAACTTTTAAGTTTTTCTAACCATGTGCCTCCAACACTAGCCAGGTATCCAAGAGAACTGATAGTTTGAAATTGCTTGCCTCGGAAAGCTCATTTGAGTTTGCAGGAGCCCAGACCTCAGTCTTGGGAAATCACAGATCCCAAGGGAACCAGAAGAATCAGCTGCCAGGTGTTAGACTAGCTGCTGCCAGGGGCAGCTAACAACAGCTGGAGGCAAAGAGCCTGTTTGGGCTGGAAGCTGGAGATGCAGCCTGTGCTGGGTCTCAATGCCTTCTGCCTCACATCTCCAAGCCTGTTTTTCTCTAGCTGAGATACTTGGGACTTCTTTGCTACATACATGTCTACCCTTGTTTCTGCCCCACGGCACCCTGGGAACCCATACTTTTGTTTTCACTCTCTAGTTGCTGTGGCATATACTATCTACAGAAAAAGAACATTTGGATATCATCTCTTTGCACGTTATTTCTGATGTTCTGTGTCCTATAATCTCTGCACTGTGGGTACTTAATTCAGATTGTGTGCAGTAAATTACTCTATGGCTTTTCTAGCCCTATCAGTTGAACTGATAGAAAGCTATCATTAAAGGGAGGAGTTCACCCTAAATGCTACTGTGCTTGCCTCCTATGTAGATAGGGATTGACAGACTATAAATTTTGAGGAAATGCTCAAAAGGAGTTTTTAAAGGAAACACTGGAAATTTGACTCCCTATTGTATACAAGTGTTAAAAGTTGACTGGCTTCTTTAACATGTAAGGTATATATATTCATTCCAGGAGTTTTGTTGGGTGATAGATCCAACACAAGCAGGTTAATGATCAGCTAGACAACATACAGAACATTCATTAAATGTTCAAGGCATTAAAGAGTCCCATGGGTGGGGACAAAGAACCCTAACAGACTCTGACTTCTCTATGATTGCTAATGAAGAAGAGGATACAGGAAGCCAGGTGCACACTGGTGAAGTGATTAACCCAGTAAGTACCCAAGAAGAGGAATAAAAGCTAGTTTGCCAGCGAACTCTGTAAAGAAAGAAACAAAAATGATTCGAATATATCTTCTTTTGCCTTAAAGATGGATAGTGTCACTAAAGACTCTCCTAGGCTTTTGTATCCTTACCCTTCGGGATCTTGGTCATACACAAGCTTTAAGAAAGAAATGTCCGGTATTTTTCAACATATAGACCTGGCCTAGATAGAAACTAGAGAACACAAGATAGTTTCTATAGAAATCAATAATCAGAGTATTATAGTGTCCTACAACTTAACCTCTGTACAGAAGGAGGGTAGTTATTGAACTTTTCAGGTTGTCTACTTCCATCTGAAGATGCACCCCAACGGATTGTGAGTATGGGCTTCCTTCCGTGCCATGGATCACCCCAAGTAGAGCCATGGAGGGTCTCAGGTTAGACACTGTGAAAGGCTGAGACTGACATCAGTTTGATCTTCCTCAGTTTATTGGTGTTGAGTGCTACTCACTCATGACCTTTGAAAGTTTAAAAGTAATTAGAAGGTGACCCTTCAAACCCAAGTGGTTTGACTCATGTCAACCTCTGTTCACAAAGCAGGTCTCAACTATATCGAGGTTCTAAGGAAGACAGAGCCCCACCCAGTGAACTCTAACCAGTGTCCATTCTACAGAGGGTCAGCATAGAGAAAAATGTCTTCAATGCATCAAGCTAAGCCATGGTCAAGCAAGGCCTTTGACTTGTGCTCACACAGATGGAACAACTGGTAAAAGGAAGGCTGGGGGAGCCAGAGGCTCCTGGCAAGCCCAAGTGACCCTGAGAACCAAATACTCTGCTGGCCTTGACAATAAATAAGAAAAGAATTTTGGCCACCTATGTGGTCTTAAAAACCAGCAAGAAAGTATAACCAAAAACTAAAATGATGGGTATGCTGCTTTTTGTCTGTCTCTCTGTCTGTTTTGAACAGTCCAAGGAATCACACTGCTGAGTCATTAAACTTAAAACTATGTGGATTGGGGCTGGAGAGATGGCTCAGAGATTAGGAGCACTGGCTGCTCTTCCGAGGGTCCTGAGTTCAGTTCCCAGCAACCACATGGTGGCTCACAACCATCTGGAATGGGATCTTATGTCCTCTTCTGACATGCAATGTACATATAGATAAAATATCACATACATAAAATAAATAAAACTTTAAAAAATATTTTTAAAAACTATATGGATTGATATTTAGAATATTTATCACTAATGATTTTCTTCTCTATAAGAAAATTACTGCCCAGGTATAAGACCTCAGATCTTGGCTCAATTCAGCACTGCAGTTCTTACATGCAGTCAAAAGAGACAGGGCCACAATTATTTTAACCTTGTAAGACCCCCGGAAGCTCAGGCCTCCAGGATCTCAGCCCAGGTCCATGGTCACCCCAATCACAAGGCAGAGGCGAAAGCTTGATGCAAACAGCATGAGGCTTTATTGTTCTTTAACGAGCTAACCACATGTTAGCTCAGGCCTTTCATCCACCCACCATGGCGGATGGCTAGGAAAGACAGCTCCAAGCGTCTGCATAGAGATCTTATAGGGCAGCGTAAGGGGAGTATCTAGGGGTATGCACAGGCTCAGGATTGGTGTGCCTCCAGGCTTGGAGGGGTTGCCCTGTGGTGATTGGCCAACTGGTTGTTATGGCCCATAGGCCCTCCCAGGGGGGTTGCTATGCTCTGCACGTCATTGCTGTGCGCTTGTCCGTAAAGCACTCCCAGAGCCATAAAGCATAGCACCACCAGCTCATTTCTGATTGGTTCCTTGCCATGAGGCAGGCATCTGACCGCCTAGTGACTAAGGCAAGGACAGAAAAGCATGTGTTTGGCTGTTATGGCTGCCGAAATGGGGAGCTGGTCCCTTCAACCTAAAACTCAAGTGATGGTTGTTAGGCCTCAAACCCAGAACAAATGACTAACTAAGGTGCTTATTATCCCAGTCAAAGATTTCCCTCCCTCCCTCCATCTCACAGCTGGGGTCGTTTAGATGGGCCTTCTGGAAGGGTACTCCCAATCTGCCTCACTTAACACCCCAAACTCAGCTGGGGAAAGCCAGGTCATTCATCACCCCAATCCCACAATGGCACTGAGGGGTACATCTTCAGTCAGAAGCTGGGAACGGGGACAAAGGTGATGATAATAGGAGGTAGAAATTGGCTAGGCAGTTTAGAATAAGCAGATCCCAAAGGAAAATAACTAACTAGTTTCCCTCTTGACTAAAAGCTAAAAATGTCCTCAGGACTTGGGGCAGCAGCATCCTTGCCAGAGGCTGTATATGCCTAAGGTGGTTTGGGGAGCTCTGATTTCTGGTCTTGTTTCTGAAGGATTGCACAATTACCTTTATGGGAGGCCAGTGGTTAGAGTAGCAGTGAAGGCCGGTTAGAGAAAACCTCTGATCAGGGGAGAAGGCCTGGGTGGAGACCCAACATTCCAACAGGGCCAGGTCACTTTCCCAGCCAAGGGACCACCCCTAGGACCGTGGGCTCATCTTATGCTAAAGAAATAGTTGAAATAATTAATGCCTTGTCCTTGATAATTAGCTCAGGCTTATCAAGTCAGCTATTGTTAAACAACCCTCCCTGCCCCACTCCCAACACACACACACACACACACACACACACACACACACACACACACACACACACAGAGCAATTCCTTATTCCAAGACATGACAAAGAGAGCCAAACATCTTAATGAGTTTGAAGAAAAGAATGTTTAAAAATCAGAGGAAGGATTTGTAAGAAACATTCACCATGAGTCTTCTTCGGAATACAATAAAACAAGGACTTCAAAGGTTTTCTGTCTACCCAACCTCGTTAAGCCTTTATGCAAATGTCTTAATCCCTGAACCAGCAAAACCCTTGTTTACACAAAGGCTCCTTGAATTCAGGGAAGGTGGTGAGCTGACTGCTTTTCTTTTTCCTTCATTTCCTGTGTGCTGATTGCTATCAACTAGTCCATCTGTGAGGCCAGACTCCAGGGGCCACCTGTGTTAGAATGAAAAGCAAGCTGGCTTCCTGTCTCGGTGTACTTCCTCTTTGGAACACACTGTCTTGATCGAGTGTTAAGTTTTGCCTTGTCAAGACACTTCAAAATACATTTAAAAATAAATGAATTTTATTTCAACAGAGAAAATGGGGGATGGGGTGAAGCCGGAGTGGGAAAATTAGTGGATCCATTTGAAATAGAAGTTCCATGAAGAGCAAAGAGACCGTGAAGGTAAGGAAATCATCAAGAAAGCAATATATAAGAAAAGTTGCCAGTAAAGAAGAAGAGAGTTTATGTGGAGACAACAGAAACAAAAGCCAAAACAGCCAAGAGCCATCACAGTAAAGTTACAGAACATACTAGAGCGGGGACTGAGAGAAGTCCTAAGTTCCTACAGAAAATAAAATAGCAAAATGAACAGGTGACATTTGGTGGGTGAAGAGGGAGATAGCATTGAATATGTCAGCAGAAACCCTGCATGAGAAACAGCAGAGAAGTCAAATTGTCCTTCGTACAATTGTACACCCAACCAAGCACCAATGTCTGTGAGGGATTGGTTCTAGAAACTCCTCTGGATACTCAAATCCACAAATGTTCCAGTCTCTGCTTTAAAATGGTGAAGTTATTTCCATCTAGCCTCTATACCTCCTCCCACACACTACAAATAGTCTCTACCTGGCCTCGTGCCCCAAGGCATTAATTAGCTACCACCTTCCCAGGAAGTGCTGATAACAACACAGTGAACCTTACCTAAGCAGAGGGTAGGTCTCCAGTTCATCTCCGAGGAGACAGGTGTGAGTCCAGAAGAGATTTGGGCAGGAGGGTGCTGGGTTTTGACCATCTAAGGCTGACCAGGAAACAAGACCACATGCCATAGTCTCATTTTCAGAATATCAGAGTCATTCATGGGAGATACTGGCTTTCATAGCACCTCCATGAATTATACATGGGAAATAGTACCGGTGGGATGCTCCAATTGGAGTAAGTATATCAGGAACACTGTACTTAGCTTAGAGGTGCCATCTCAAAAGAGCTTTAGATGAGGAAACTCACAAAAAAACAACAACAACAAAAAACTTTGTGCAATTGTGGATATATTTGGAGATGTTGAGAAGAGTAAACCTGGAGTCTAGGAGGTGAGGATGCAAAACGATTAATTTTTTTGTGAGCATAGGTCTGTCATGAAGACAAAATATAGTCTGCAAGGAGCACTTCCAAAGCCAGACTCATGTCTGAAGAGCTCTGGGCTTGCTGGGCCTCTGCTTGTGAGCTCCCCAAGGGCCCATCTGTCTACATCATTGTGAGTGTCCCTTCATGGAGCTACCACTTGACTGTGTCCTTCAGGGAGGCAGTCAGTATGTGCTACCTTCATGTCCCCAGCTGTCAGGGGCCATGCTTGACATGTGGCAGGCACTTCATGTCAGGGGTGGGTGGATTTGGGCTTAATATAGCTTTGGCTCAAAGAACAAAAGGACAGTCTGTCAATAGTGACCTGTCTCTTCTGCTGAGGTGCTGAGTGGCTGGTGGCTAGAGGCATCAAGAGGAGCTGGATTCTCTTTACTGTGTGTGTGAAGACTTGGAGATGACTTGCAGATCCCTTCCAACCTCAGGAGCTCTCAACTGAGGCTAATTTCTATCCTATGGGTGTGACAATCCCACCTGTTTTGGCAAAGCCTCCAACTATGCTTTAAAATGCTCATTCCTGTCAATACAATAATTCTTTTTTTTTTTCTTTAAGGAACCTATTCAAAAGATACAGAAAACAAAATACTGGAATGGCTAAGGGCCAGCTTGACAGCAACAGCTCACATCCCCCCTTCACAGGAGGACGGAGAGAATGGGACAGACTTTGTCATTGTCCACAGTGAGTCTCAAACTTCTGGAACAATACCAGTTACTTCTGAGACCAAAAAAACTTTATAGATATATAAAATTAAATAGAAATATTTAAAGAGGCCATAGAGGCATAGCATGGACAACACACAAAATTTGAAGGAAAGCAAAAGCAACAAAAGAAAGTTGATTAAGATTCCTCAGGTCTTGAAATCTGGATCTGGATCCAAAGGACAAAAAGAATTACAGAGATGAGAGCAAGAAATACAACACAAAGCCAGAAGACACCATTCATCCAAGTTTATGGAAATGGCACCTTGAGAGTACAGAACTTTACAGCAGGACATGGTGGCCCACATGGGAAGCCAGTGCCAGCAGATGGGGGTTTCTTTTACCATAGAAATGAGGAGAATGGCAATGTATTAAGATCCCAGAGAAACAGTTAGTAATAACAAATGCTCTCCAGGTAGTGTCCGAATCTGCTGAGCAGCTCTGTCTTTATCTACTGTCTCTATCTCATGGTTCATTGTTCATCTGGCTTCACTCTAAATACACATAGCTTTTCCAAAGGACTGATGTGTGATCTAATGGCCTGTGGTCTCCAAAAGTGACAGTCTGGGAGGTGGCCACCTTTCATTGTCCCCTGGCCCAGCAATGTCTAGTGGTTCTACTCTGAGGAAAGTAAAAGGACATTAAGGAGGTAGATAGCAGAAGATGAAAGGGGCATTGAAGAAAGAGGCGTGGACAGCCTAGCAGAGGTGTGTCGAGCCTACACTGGGTGTGTGTGGACCTCGAATACCTGTTTATTTATTTTATGACCCCTCTTGGCTGCCTGTGTCATAGAGCTTTGAGGACATCTGTGCTCAGGAATCTGTTTTGAAAGACTTCATTCCAGGACAGAACTGCTGGAGAGAGGATCACCAATGATCTTCACAATTGCCTCACATGAAGTTCACAGATCAAGAGGAAACGGTGACAAGGTTGAGGAAGGGTCATAGGTAGCAGGCACAGTGGTCCTATGTGACACTTTGTACCTGTGTGAGATGGGAGCCCATAAGACAACAATCTTCCCAAGCTCCTGATGTTTGGATTTTCCGTTAACTTTTAAGCCTCTCTATCTAAGGAGCTCCCTTTAGGGATTAAAATTTTATATTTACAAGAAAAAAAATGGAGGAGGAGAAATCCTTGCTTGCAACTGCCTAGCAGGGATAGAAGGGGTCGGAACTGATGACACTTGAAGATATGGGAGGCAAGGAGGCGATTTGGTTAGTGTGCCTACGAGGCCATGTATTATTTCCTTCAGATAGTCTTCCCCTCATTCACAGCTGCTAGTGTCTCATGTCATAGGCACTTTTAAGGCCAAAACTGAGTGTTCTTGGTTACCCGGATGTAGGAACTGGAAGCACTTACCAACACCCATGAGGACAGATATGGAACTAATGAGTTCAGTGCTAGCAATGCCATTCGGGTGATACGACTTCCACACACAGCATCAAGGGCCTAGAAGAACCCATGAATGACATGGAGAGGAATCGATGGGCCAGGTCCTCCAAGAACCAGTCAGGAGGTGGAATTCTCTCTTGAGACCTCTTCATGCACGATCAGACCTTGGAAAAAAGTGACCTCTTGTCAGGCCACAGCTCCAGCAAATACCTGACCCCAAAAAGGCTTTGCTGCCTCATACTCTCCACAAAACCAAGTGGCTCCAACTGGACACTTGGAAAGAAAACAGACTTGGATAATTGTGGTTAGACAAACAATTTCAAGATCATTTGGCCTGTGTGTTTAGAAGGCTCAGGGGGCCTGAGGAATGCGGTGAATTTACAGGAAGAGGGACAAGAACACACATTCCTCCAGAACGCCCAATCACCAAGCTCTTGTTTATTTTTTGGAACCAGTGATGTCTGGAGAGAGGTCATCCTTTCTGAGGTTGGAGAGTGAAGACATGTTCTGAGGTTATAGCCAGACAAGACAAATGAGGGATAGAAGGACATCTAATGTGGTTTCTAACAAAAGCTAGCTCCAGTTCAGAGGTGGGAACTGAGAACTGTCGGAGTCTACTGGAGGGCCTTGCAGGGACTCAACCCTGAGGGAGTGTAGACGGATGCACACCTGATGCTGGCAGTAAAGGAGCTGTGATTTGGTGTTGCCTAAAGGTCTGCGTGGTGAAGGTTGGTCCACCTGTGGAGCTTCTGGGATGTGTTGGACTCTAAAAGTAGCAGGAGGCTGGAGAGATGACTGAGGAGGGAAAGGCATTTTCCACCAAGCTTGGTAAACTGAGTTCTAGCTACTGAACCCACATAGTGGAAGGAGAGGGCCAACTTTCACAAGTCCAAACACATGCCATGGTGCATACAGGTGTGCACACACACAGATGTACAGACACACACACACACACACAAGGAGAGCCACACACACACACACACCCACACACACACACACACACACACACACACACACACACACTAAATGTTTAAAAATGTTTTAAAAGTAAATGCTGTAGGCTAACCAACCATGAACTGAAACCAAAACTATTTGCCAAGAAAAACAAACAAACAAACAACAAAACCGCCCAGCTCTTGGATACTTTGTTTCAGTAACAGACAACTAAGTAACTTCATGAGACAATGCAGTCTGTTAGGGCAGGTAAGGAGTAGAGGGAGATTGAAACAAGCTGACAAGTTCAAGCTCTCTCAAAAAGTACATTGTCTCCTCATCACCAGTACAGGAAGGCTCAAAGTGGCTCTAGGTTGGCCAAATCTGTTATTTCATGAGAGCTGGATTTTCATGTGGCAATCTTATAAAGCTGCCAACACACTTTAAAAACATAACATTACCCAGGCTCTCAAACAAAACTCTTCCAGCCAGATTCTGTCCATGGACCTCCTCCATAACAAGGTACCTCACTCAGGGAAGTAATCCAGAATCTGCTTGTAAGAGACGATAAGTAGCCAAGACATAAGGGATGATAGGTACCTAAGATATAAGGGACAAAGCACACAACTCTGTTTTGGGGGAATGGAAGTCATTGAACATCAAATAGCTCAGTTGCAAAAAGAAACAGAGACACAGGGAACTTGGCAGACGCTAGCCAGGGAAGGGTGAGATACCTAGTCCAGTGCCCCTACCTCTGGGGTGGCCACCTAGTCAGTCCCCACATCTAAGACCTCAGAGACCTCCATGTCTCTAAATGTTTTGGTGGCTGAATCTGCTGTTTTAGTTCTCCATGCTGTGCAGCTCTAATGTGAGGGGAATGACACCTACTGCCTGATGTGAGCGTGGACCGAGGACAGGGCAGGCTGCACACGTGTATGCATTTGGGATAAGCAGGCACTTGGATGTACTTCCTATGGTCCAATAAAGAGTTGAATGGCTAATAATAGCTAGGCAGGCAGAAGGATAGGCAAGCTGGCAGGCAGAGAGAGTAAACAGGAGGAGAAATCTAGGCTCAGATGAGAACAAGAGAAGGAGAAGGAAAGAGAGAGGGTGATGCCAGGGGGCCAGAAGCCAGGCAACTGCCAGCCAGCCAGACAAGAGAGTCAGTGAATGCTGTTATACTGAAAGAAAGAGAAGTAAAGAACCCTAAGGCATAAGGTAGATAAAGAGAAACAGGTTAATTTAAGTTAAAAGAAGTATCCAGAAACAAGCCTAAGCTAGGTAGAGCATTCAAAACTGATAATAAGGCTCTGTGTCATGATTTGGGAGCTGATTGGTGGCCAAAAAGAAAAAATTAATTTTAGTGTGGTTTACGACTACTTTGAATTCTGGGCATAGCATATGAAAAATATGATATGATATGAAAAATAATCAAGGCTCTGGAAGAGGTTATTTTCATTCCAGCCAGGCTACTAACCATCATGACCATGTCATCATGAATTTTATGTATCTGGTGTAGATCTATTCTAGTTTAGACTTCCTTTGGGGTCCACTACTTGTTTAGAAGATAAAGTTCTTCAGACACTTTGTTTTGTTTGTTTCTATTGTTGTTTGTTTTCTTTCTTCTTTCCTTTTTCCTTCTGTTGAACTGAGCTTTGGGCCATGGTGTATTAGCATGTCCAGTTGTATTAAAATATTGACACTCCTGTGAGGGTGGGCATGAAGTAAGTGAGTAGTGACTGGGGGCCGTGGGTGACACAGGAGTTAGATTTGACTTCAAAGTGTGCACGCATGGGCTTGTGTTAATCTGGATAAAACCTAAAGCCTCACACATGACTAGGCAAGCTTCGAGCACTGAGTTTATTCCTAATGCACCTCTTACTTTTTAGTTTGAATAGCTCACTAAGTTGCCCAGGCTGCCCTTGAACTAACTCCAGGGCCCGAGCAAAACTTGAATTTTCAATTATCCTGGACCAGCTTTCCAAGTAACTGGGGCCACAGGCTCCCCTGTAGCTTCTTGACTTGTCCATCATGTGATCCCTCCCTCTTTGATGTACTCCAGCAACTGTAAGTCACCTACCACAAGCTTTTCACCAGAGTGTAACTGATGTTAGCACCATGCCTTTAAATTTCCAGAAGTGTGAACTGGAAAAATTCCTTTTTTATTAAGGCTGCCTCTGGTATTTCATTATAGCAATGACAACAACAACAAAAAAGTCCATGCCTCTGGACCAGTACCTGCTCCACATTTGCAAAGCCTTCTTGCAACTTCCTCCCATGGCACACAGAGGAAAAAAAAAAAAAAAAAACAGCAAGTGATCAGGTCCTTTGATGAGGTGGACCCTGGTGACACACTTCCCATTGGGCCCATTTCCCAACATTGTTGCATCAGGAAGGTTTCTAAGAAGCATGCTTCTAAGAGAACACATTCAAACTACACCATAGGGAAAGGCAGCGAGGTGGTGGAAGCAGGTCTCATGTACAATCCACATACCAACCTGCTTCTTGCTTATGGACTGTGTGCTATTGCATACAGGCTGTGACAGTCGCCTTCCCATGTCTCCTGGAGTCGCTGTTCTCAGTGGTCTCCACATTCAGCAGGAACAGAGAATGAAAGGCAAGAGACTGTGTAGCCCCTTTCATTAGCTGTGGGTCCACTTGTCCACATCTGAACAGCTGATGGGACATTTGGCCTGAGAGGCTTTGGACATGCCACCCTTTACACTTGAAAGACGTAGGACTTAGGGTACCACTACTGCTTTTGAGTTCTGATCCCAGGTCAGATTCTGCATTTGACTGCCTTGCGTACCATCCTAGACCCCATAGACCAGCCACTAATTTATTGTCAGCTATTTCCATGGCATTACAACCTTCCTACCCAGCCACTGTGCACAACCTCTCTGCTTCTGCTTAGCGAAGGTCACCTTCCTCAACAGTGTTTAGTTGGGATTGTTTGTAGAAGAGGAGGGGGCCAGAGGACCCCAAACCAAAATAGAACCAAGGGTTGTCACAAAGAGTTTTTTTCCTGCGAATGTTATCTGACATCGGGCTATCTGGAAGCCATCTGCTCCCTGAAGACTTGGAGGCATGTTAGAAACTATTTTTAAATAGTTTAACTGAAGTCTTGCAAATCCTACTCAGAAGAAGAAACTTTCCTCAGAATCCCACAGAGACTAAAAGAGAATAAGAGCATTGTTGAAAATACTGAATCACCTGGGATACTTAGAAAGCTGGCAGGGATAGCTAGCCCTCCTGAGTTCCAGAGATTTGGGGAAAACAAAACAAAACAGTAAGAGTAAGCAGTATCCAGCCTGTGTGTCTAGAGGAGAGGGCACAAAGCAAAGCGAGGCTGCTTGCTAACCTTGCCTCCTGCCCACCACCCTAGCCACATCCATGTCTAGTCTCTCTACCAGTGGTCCTCAGACTTACAGAGTGTCCTGGGGTTGTTAATCGAGCTGTGGGGGCAGCCTTAATAAGTATGGGGAGTGGCGCTGGCTGTAGGTTACTGATGCCCTAGGCTTCTTTACCCTTTTATACTACCTGTGGGGAGTCTAAAGGATTAGTCATGGGGACTCCCAGCCCAAACCACACAGTTTAGATAGCTCCTTGGAAGCTACCGAGGGTGATATGAAGGTTGTAAGCAGGTGCTGTGGAGATTTTATGATCCCAAATGGAGTTAGTTTCTTGTATAAAACTCCAGTCCTGTGTTGCTGAGAAAGGCCACGGAGAGAGAGACCACCATTCGTGATTTGTCCCAAAGCAGGAACTACCACAAAATGTTTTCCTAATAATAGTTTATTTGGAATGGTACAGAACAGCTGGCTACACAAGGATATCTAACAGCCTGCGTGAGAACCCTGGCTTCGCATGCTTGTCTCCCAAGCACAGACCACCAACAAGGCGGCGTTGACTGTAGGCTGACATAGGTTGTCAACTCCTGGACGCTATCAGCACCCATGAGATTTCATTCTCCTTCTGAAGCCTTTCTCTTTGTTTTTCAGATGTACCAGAGGCCACCAAGGAAGGAAGGAAAGAACGAACGAATGAATGAACAAACGAAGGAGAGAAGGAAAAAAGAGAGAGGGGGAAGGAAGGAATAAAGGAGAAATGAAGGGAAAGACAGAGGGAAGAAGGAAGCAGGGAAGGAAGGGAGGAAGGAAGGAGGGAGAAAGGCAAGGAAGGAAGGAGGGAAATAAGGAAAAAGTTGATAAAATGTCATGTGGAAAACACAGCATCTATAACAGAACAGTCATCCTTATTCTGTGTCAAAAAAAAAAGATGAAAACTTAGAAAAACAAAATTTCATCAGCATTAGACTATAATCTATTAGCAAGCAGTAGGCGCATCTCTCATTAGCAGTTTCTAAGTCAGCAGTGTACTACCTGAAGGTTTAGGACAAACAATCCATGGGCTGGTAGAGTAGGTTGGCTTTACAGTCATGGAAAGCAGAAACAAAGAATAAAGTGTTTGGTTGGTATTTGTTTCTCTTCCTGTTGAGAAAAACAACTTAAAGGATAAAGGGTCAATTTTAACTCATAGTTTAAGGCACAATCCATCATGGTGGAAAAACCAAGGCAGCGGGCGCTTGAGGAAGGTGCTACACTGCATCCACAATCAGGGTCTGAGGAGGGTGACTTTATGCCAGTTCTTAGCTCACTTTCTAAATGTTATACAGCCTGACAGCCTCTGTCCAGGGGATGGCCCTGACCACAATTAAGTTGGGCTCATGCCTCAATTCATGTAGATAAAATAACACCTTTCCCACAGGTAGGCCCAAAGGCCCATCCTCTAAGAAAATAGAAGTGTTCATGCCTCAAGACTAGAAGTCCCTGATGGCCTGCTCTTGGTATAGTCAGCTTGGAATTGTGATAGTTGACAAGTCAGGGCTATGAACCAGCAGCTGCCAGCCTGGCAGCAGTGGGGTAGGACCCCATACTTTGCTGTCCCCATTCTTGGGTCCCATTGAAACCTGATTAAAATGAATTCACTCGTGAGTCTGGAACCTTGAAGAT